GAGTCCTAAGACAGGTGCTGGGGCATAAGATGAACAGATCATGGTCCCTGGCCTCAAAGTGCTCTCGCTGCTAGCTTGAGAATTTGAGCCTTGGGGAACACCTGAAGGCTTGTGTTCCTTCTGCTGGCCCCACAGCCAGTGAGATCTTTTGTGGCGTGAATAGGAGAGAGAAAAGTGTGGCCACAGAGCATGGACATGGTGGGCAGACAGGTCTACGTCTAAACTCCTGCTCTCCTCTCTGCCTTTGCAATGCTGAACGTATTACATCCTCTGCTTTCTGATCTGTAAAATGGGAATAAGCCATACTTCAGAGTTGAGAGGACTAGACCAAGTGATGTCAAGCTCCTGGTCGCCACCTGACCCTCTGTAAAGTATTCTGTCGCCAGGACTACAGTGGTGATGATTACTGTTATTACTACTAACCTGCTGCTGTACCTCTGTTTTCTTATAGCCATGGAGCCCATCACCCAAGACAAACGTGTCTCTCAGGGCCATAATGGAGACCTGTACTTCTCCAACGTGATGCTGCAGGACATGCAGACCGACTACAGTTGCAACGCCCGCTTCCACTTCACCCACACCATCCAGCAGAAGAACCCTTTCACCCTCAAGGTCCTCACCAGTAAGTGCAGGCCCCTGCCCGGGGGCTGTGGGCCAGGGAAAGAAGCCCACTGACCCCACCCAGCCCTAGGTACCTGAGTCTAGGGGGAGACTTCTCCTTGAGGCTGACCTAGAAATCCTTTCAACTCATGGTGCCTGAGCCACTTCAGCTGCTCTTAAATGATCTCTCTTGATTGTGAAACCTTGAGTTAAACTTGGTCCTACCCTAAGTCAATTCTTCTTAAATTCTGGTGGGAATCAGAATCACCTTAGAACTTGGCAGCGTACCCAGAACCAGCCTATTGCACCTCAACAGCCCTAAGCCTCTTTGTTCTTTATGAGCCCTCCAGGTAATTCAAGTGCACCTCAGAGTCTGAGAACCACTGCTTCCAGTGGGCATCTAGAACCCCTCTCCGGACCCAGCTTGATTATTTCTTTTATTTCTTCTCATTGCTTGGGTATCTTTATTTCTACAAGAAATAGCAGAAAATATGAAAATTAGTGGAGACACCAAAATAAATTGTATTTGATTCTGTAATACGTATATGCTGAACCATATGGAATTGCTATGTTTGTAAGTTGCAGGCTTATGTTTTCGTTTTATTTGTTTTCATTTCTATTCCCTGATTCTGTTTGACTGGTACAAAAGCAAATCAGCATTTCCTGACCCATTATAGCGTTGGTGGCTCTCCCTTGAGGAGAGAGAGAAGCTTAGTCAGAAATGTTCTTCTTGGCAAGGACAAAGCAGCCTAGAGCTTTTGCTGCAAAGTCTCAGCCCACTCAGGACGTTGGAAGTTCTCTATGTTGCTGCACACCATGGATTTGTAACACGTCTTCCATAAAGGAGCCCCCCAAAGAATAGACCTTAGTCTGGCTCATGCTGTGGGTGTTGTTTTTGATGCTCTGGACAGTGAGGATTGTTGGGGAGGCCAGTAGAGATCACCATGTGGGTGCTGGCAGTTTGCAAAGGTCAGAGAAAATAGGCTGACCCTGGCTTCCTGGAGCC